GTTTAATATTTTTTTAAAAAGTTATCTTCTGACGTGGATCCTTGGGTGACTACTGATTCAGTCCAGTTTCCTCCTCCTCCATCATCATCTATGTTCCTGAGCAGAGTTGGTATTTCTGCTGATCCTGGGCCTGTTTGCCCTCAGATCAATTCCTCACCCTTCCCTTCTCCGCTGAGCATTGTGAACAGCTGACCCTTGTGGGCTTCATTCCTTCCCAGGCTCTGGTGACAGCAGTTTCTGGCTGGGTTAGCAAGTGAGGAACTGGCAAGAGATTGGAGGGTAGGAAGTAGGAGAAGCCAGGGCTTTCCCCTCTTTCTCTCTGCTTTGGAAAGTTGGAGGAGTGGGGTGGTTTCTGGAAGCGTCTCTCTTGTTGCTTCTGCCAGTCAGGCCATTCTGTTTTCAGCTTCCTCCAGGTAACTTCAGCCTTGGAAACTGGTAGCAATACATTCCCTCCCTTTTTCCTTCAGCCTAGAGGTGGTAGTGACTTGTTCCCATGCTAACCTCTGATTTGCATCACTGTTCCCTTTTGGGCCTCTCATTTCTTCCCTCACCTGTTCACTGCATTGAAGTCCTTCTGTTCTACATCAAGTGGTTTCTGGGTTTCCTTGTTCGATAGACCCTGTCTGATACAGAGCTCAAATCAATACTAATAAAAATGTCTTCCATTTACATTCTTTTCAAGATTTGTTATATCTTTTGATGTCTCAAATAATATATTGAGGTAGAAAAGTGTTATAATTCCTATTATAACATGAGGAAATTAACATTTTATTGAATGATCACTTTCAGATTTTCCGTAATTTTCCGGTGAAAATTATAGGCATGAAAATGGAGGCCCAGAGACTTAAATAACTTGCTCTAAGTCCCATAGAAGTCTGGTACCGAATCAAGATTGGACTTCTACATATAAAAATTTGATGTGCTGCCTGTCTTCTGGTCCTGGAAGAGATCCTTTACCAAAGAAGATTTCATTTACAATGTACTTACAAAAGCCTTAGTCATTTTAGAAAATTTTTCAACTAAAAATTCAGAGCACAATAATTTTCTGCTCAACATTCATATATTCAGAATGCTTTTCACTACCATTAATCAGTTTTATGTAAAGTTTTGAGTTTTGGTTATTTCTATGAGAATTTTGCACCTAGGGCAAATTACAGGGAAGAAGAATTCTTGTGATGTCATGTTTGTTCAGTTATGGAATTGTTTAAGATATGTCTTGTGCATCCTTATCGAGGAGGAAAGAAAGAGGTGTCACAAAAGAGTGGAATGGGGGCAGGAGAAGAGAAAGGCAAGGGAATATTGTTGCCAGGTTGCCAGCCTTCTGCCCCCAGTGCCTTGGTGATGACTGAAAGGCTTTACCTTGTCATCTCGTCAGCTGGCCACCTGACGTCCATGGTAATACAGACTCCTACTAAAGTGTAACATGGGAGATGACCACCTTGCTCTGCTGTAAAATAGAGGAGGCTCTACTTTGCACTTACATGCCTATCTTTTTTAGAGGACCTTTCAAATAGGTAATTCTCATAATACTTGTGAAAGCATATACGAACCAGTATCCCTGTTTGTAGGGGGAATTGGAGTGAGCAATGATTTGGAATACAAGAAATTCAACTCACACATTTACAGGTAAAATTCTAACTGTAAATTCAGAATTCATAGGGATTTATGTGGTATCCAGAATTTCCTCATTTTGGAAAATGACTAATAATAATGATGATGAAAATAACAGCAACAACAGTTAACACTTCTTTAGGGTTAGCGTGTACCAGACAGTACTTGAACCTCTTTATATGTATTGTCATTCAGTCTTCACATCTCTGTGGGGTATTTTATCCCCTGACTGTCCTATTTAAATGTGAGAAGAATATCACTAATAATGGAGATTTTATTATCATCTATCCCTTCTGCCAGCACTCTCCGAACCCACACCCCCCACCCCTGCCCTGATTATAAGCTCCCTGAAAGCTTATAACCAGTTTTGTTTGCTCTTGTATCCCCAGTGCCTGGCATGTGGTTGGTACTCAGTGAATATTTATTGAATGAATGAATGAGTCTCTATTTTATAGATGAGGAAACTAAATTTCCCAAGACTACACAGTTAATAGGACAGTTATGGGGCACTGAAATGATTTATAAAGTCTTTGATGAGCCTAAAGTTCTTTTAACTTTTAGAAGAACTGTATCGTCAGGAGTGTGAAATGACTGTTAGGCACTTGAATTTGGTGGTGCTTTCCCTTCTTCTCATCCCTAGTACTCCATTTCATGAGCCTCTGGGCCCTTGAGATACCTTACAAATTGAACATTTTTTTCCTCCATTCTTCACCCATGGAACACAAAAAATGCCTCATCTTTTATTATAAGATTGTAATAATAGACAGGACTCAAATTTGCATTTTATAAATTTTCTTTTAGGTTGTGGAAGCAATGATACTAAGTGATATTGTAAACTCAAAGGATTCAGTTGTCTCCTTCCCTTTACAGCAGGGGTCCCCAACCCTTGGGCCATGGACCGGTAATGGTCCGTGGCCCATTAGGAACTAGGCCTTGCAGCAGGAGGTTAGCCGTGGGCGAGCGAGTGAAACTTCATCTGTATTTACAGCCACTCCCCATCACTTGCATTACCACCTGAGCTCCGCCTCCTGTCAGATCAGCGGCAGCATTAGATTCTCTTAGAAGCGGGAACTGCACTGTGAACTGCGCATATGAGGGATCTAGGCTGCACGCTCCTTATGAGAATCTAATGCCTGGTGATGATCTGAGATGGAGCTGAGACGGTGATGCTAGCGGCTGCAAATACAGATTATCATGAGCAGAGAGGTTTGATTGCACAGAGACCATAATAAATCAGTTGCTTGCAGACTCATATCAAAACCCTATCAGTGAGTGGCAAGTGAAAACAAGCTCAGGGCTCCCACTGATTTCTGCATTATGGCGAGTTGTATGATTATTTCATTATGTATTACAATGTAGTAATAATAGAAATAAAGTGCACAGTAAATGAAATGCGCTTGAATCATCCCAAAACCATCCCCCACCCCATCCCCCCGGTCCCTGGAAAAATTGTCTTCCATGAAACTGGTCCCTGGTGCCAAAAAGGTTGGGGACTGCTGCTTTAGAGGGTAGGTAACATTGAGGTAGGCCATACAATTGAGACTTGATCCAAGATTACATGCACACCCACTCACATCCGTCTTGTTGTTTTTTTTAAAAAAAAATATTTAGTTATTTAATTTTGGCTGTGCCGGGTTTTAGTTGCGACACGTGGAATCTTTGCAGCATGCAGGATCTTTTAGTTGCAGTATGTGGGATCTTTAGTTGCAGCATGTGGACTCTTAGTTGAGGCATGCATGCAGGATCTAGTTCCCTGACCAGGGATCGAACCCGGGCCCCCTTCATTGGGAGAGTGGAGTCTTACCTGCTGGACCACCAGGGGAAGTCCCTCACGTCCATCTTTAAGCTTGGTGATTTGTGTGGTCTTTAGTAGGAAATTTAATTCTGGAAGTGGTTAGTTAGGCAGAACATGAATGGCTAATATCTGATGATTGTTGGGGCTTGGGAGAAGAGAAAGAAGGAGACAAAAGTCATTGAAGAATCTCACATAGGCCCTTGCTGACTAGAAGAAGGGTGGTCTCAGTCAGAGAATGTGGGTAATCAGAAGATGAAGAGTTAGTTGCTTAACATTTTATCTTTTTTTTCTTTCTTCCGGTATATAAAATCATATCCATACTTTGTCATAGTTTCACTTCACAGATTCTGTTGCTGTTCCTTATTCTTGGGAAAGACTAAGCAGCATTCTTAATTTTTGTGTTCCTGCAGTGTTAATTCTGGGTCACAGTAAGCTTTTTTTCCTTCCCGTCATACTACGGACATATAAGTCTTGGGTTTTCCGTTGATATATCGCCTAAGGTTCTGGAACAGAGCAATTACAAATGATTACAAATCATTTCCCTTTCTTCCCCTGCTATACCCTTTCTTTTACATTTTAAAAAATCAGGGAAGTACCCTGGCGGTCCAGTGGTTAACACTCGGCGTTGCCACTGCAGGGGGTGCGGGTTCCATCTCTGGTCGGGGACTAAGATCCAGCGTGTTGCGTGGTGTGGCCAACAAAAAACAACAAAAAGAAAATGATCATTAAAACAGAACAAAACAAAACAGGGATTACCTCAAGCATGTTTTAAAATGCATAAAAAATACAAACACCTGTGTACTTACAGGCCAGATTTAATAAATAAATACACTTGGCCATGTATACTTGAGAGCTTTTAACTTTTTTGATAAATAAAGCATTTAACAGTTGAAATCTCCTTTTTACTGCTTCCTAATTCTACTCTTCCCTCTTCCTTCCTTGAGGTCACCACTGTTCTGAGGTTGGTGTGAATACTTGTCCTCCTTTTTACCATAGAAAAATAATTTCTTAATGAATTTTTACCTGTATTTTAATTGAATTCAAAGGGATAGTAACTCAGGGTTTCTGTATCATGAATCGTTTTCAGTGGCTCAAATATTTTTCTCCTTGTTGACTTCTTATTCCTGGGCAACAGTATAATGTTTCACATTTGAGCTATTGCTAAGACTGTGTTTAGCTATTTTTGGTCCTATGATCTATCAGATGTGATATTAACTATGGTATGTATATTTTGTTAGTAACACTCCTGAAATATCCTTTGGAAAGTCATATTATTCACGTTCTAAAACCAAGGAGAGAGAGAGGGAAGAGGGAAAGAATGATTCTGTTTTTCTCTTCAGGCAAGTTATCAGTTGAGAAACTGACATTATAAATGACCAAAACTGAACAGAAGTATATATTCAATGTGTAATAGTAGGACAAGTATCTCTTAATTTAATAATCCACACATTTTTGATGCACTGTATTCTTATGATCAGCAGCATGAAGAATTTAACGTGATATTACAGTATGCCTGTGGTTAGTTGAGGACAGTGCTCAAGGAGAAAACCTAACAATGACTGTGTTGTTTGTTTTGTCAAAATATGCTACCCAGCTCCAGAGTTTCCTATTTTGGAGAAGCAGAACTGGTTGATACATCTCCACTATATCCGGAAGGATTATGAAGCATGCAAGGTGAGAGGCCAATGATAGAAAACGTGAGAGGCAGGCTTTGGTTAGGCAACTAACTGTGTCTGTCACTCAGAGTTTGTGTGACAGTTTAGCTCTCACTAAAAATGTATGAAATCTCATTTCTCTGCATTTTGTGTATTGGTTAGCTTTTGCTATGATAATGCTGCTTAAGAAACAACCTCAAAATGTCAGTGGCCTCTAACAACAGATACTTATTACTACTCATGGGCCTTCAGATTGGCTGTAGGTTGGCTGGGTTTGACCACAGGCTGTGGGTCAGGTTCAAGTGTGCTCCATGTGTCTTCTCATTTCAAGACCAGGCTGAAGGAGCAGCCACTCTCTGGGACTTGTTGGTCTCATGGTGGAGAGCAGATGTTCAATATGGCATAGTATTTAACTGTTTGATCTCTGGATAGGTGAAAAATGGTATTTCATTGAGTTTTATAATTCTCTTACTATGGTGAGCTTGGTCCTTTATATATTTTAAAACCATTTGTATTTTCTCTAAACTGTATCTTTGGTAACTTACTATGTACATTACATACTTGTTGGCAGAGAATAGTATCATAATGCGAAATATATCCCTGGTATTCTCGGTTTTTGGCATTCGGAGCTTTGTAATGCTTTTAAGGTTGTAGTTTTTATACCTGTGACATTTGTACCTATGACAATGTAAAGAACTAGCAATGTTCCAGCATGGATCTTGAAAGATTTTTTTTTCATCTGTGATATTATCCTTTTCAAATTTATTTCCCTTTTCCTTTATTGACCACTTTCTCTGTTTCCTTTTTTTTGGCTTCTCTTCTTTTGCTTTTTTCTTAAGAGTTGGGGCTATTTCTAGGTTCTGTCCTTGACTCCTTTCTCTGCTCATTCCACACACTTCTTCCTGATCTTAGAGATGCGTACTGAGTGCTTCCCAGGCATTTCAAATTCATCTTTTCTGTAGCTGAATTTATCTTCTTCTTTCCAAACCTATTTCTTCTCCTGTTCCCTGTCTCGGGGATAGGTACCATCATTCACCCAGCTGTCTGTGTCAGAATCCTCTGACCCACTTTCCCTAATATAATATAGATAATCATCAAGTTCTAGAGATCCTTCTCTTACTATCTCAAGACATTGTCCACCCCCCCCCACGCCTTAGTTAATCCCTGTCATTTTTATTTAAATTAACCACAAGAGTTCTTATGCCAGCATTGCCTCTAATCTTGCCTCCTTTCCATCTATTTCCACAATGTTCCAAAAATGGAGCAAATAGAATCTGGTTACTTCCCACTTAAAATTTATCACGATTTTCCCATTGCTCTCGACCTTTTTTAGCATGGCATTTGAAGCCCTTCTCTCTCTGACTCTCTGGGCCACCTCAGCTTTTCCTCCATCCCTTGCTAACACAGGATTTGAAACTGTTTACTACCCTGGAAAGCCTTCCCTGATTCTCCAGGTTAGAATCAGGTGATTGCCCTCTGAGCTGTATAGCTCCCTGGTCTTAGCCCATCATAGGACAAAGGTAGAGCCTGTACTTTGCTCATCAGAGAGCTCCTGGCATCTATAATGGTGCATGGAAATCTTTTCATAGTTTTCTTAGCCTGCCTAGTTAGAGTGTAGATAGGAGTTGGTGAACTTTTTCTGTTAAGGGGCCAGATGGTAAATATTTTAGGCTTTGCAGGCCACAGATAGTCTCTGTCTTATATACTTCATCTTCTCTTATTTTTTAATAACCCTTTAAAAATAAAAAAAACACTCTTAGCCTGAGACCTGTACAAAAATAGGCTATGTGAGTCGGATTTGGCCTGTGGGCTGTACTTTGCTGACCCCTGTTCTAGGGGTCAAATAAATTTTAAAAATCTGAATGAACTACTTTATTAGTCATCATTAGTATTGTAGATTTCTTACATGTACTCCTTGTCCATGTTTACCTTTTCTTAAAAACACTTGAAGACACTTAACCACTACTCAGAAGTATTGTTTGTTTCTTTTTCAGGATGTTATCAAAGAACAGCTTCAGGAGACTCAGGGGTTATGTGAATATGCTATCTATGTCCAAGGTAAGACATATATTTCTTCTCTTCTTGCCAGAGAAATGCACACTCTGCCTAGGTTCTGGAAAAAGAGCAAACAACTTACAAAATACTTAAATTCAAGTAAATGTTCCACAAATCTCTTATTCAATATTACTGTTTTTTGAAATTGGAACATGATTATTGTGCTGGATTTGACCTCAGAAATGACTAGTTCTCTTAAAAAAACTTGCTACTGTCCTTCACCCCTATTCTAGTTTCCGGCTAGTGTTTTTCAGAACAGTTGTTAGGGTCCCTGCCTCACGCAGCAGTTTCAGGTGCAGAAGAGGCTTTTGGAAGGGTTCCTTGTAGTCAAGCTAAAAGAGATAAGGAAAAGCTTGAGGATTTTTTGTAAGGTGAGTCAGGATGAAGGGAAGAAGCCTAGAGGTATACAGGATAAAACAGAGAATAAATGAAATTCAACAGAAATCAAGTATAGGAACTATTGACTGGAATTTTACTCTGTAGTGCCCAAAGTAGCATCCTTAGTTTTCCCAGGAATTATCTTTTTGACTCTTTGATGTAAATGAATAGTTTTGTTTACCACTCATTGTATTTGTAGTCTTCAGATTAATATATAATTTTCTGACATAATTGGTAAGATATTGACATATCTAGGACATCATGGCAAATAATGCTCTGTTTTAAAAAATAAATTGTTTTTATTTTTGACAATGTTGGGTCATTGTTGCTGTGTGGGGGCTTTCTCTAGTTGTGGCGAGCAGGGGCTACTCTTCGTTGTGGTGCGCGGGCTTCTCATTGCGGTGGCTTCTCTTGTTGCAGAGCACGGGCTCTAGGCGCGCGGGCTTCCGTAGTTGTGGCGCGTGGGCTCAGTAGTTGTGGCTTGCAGGCTCTTGAGCGCAGGCTCGATAGTTGTGGCGCACGGGCATAATTGCTCCGCGGCGGCATGTGGGATCTTCCCGGGCCAAGGCTCAAACCCGTGTCCCCTGCATTGGCAGGTAGATTCTTAACTACTGGACCACCAGGGAAGCCCAAATAATGCTCTTTTATTCCCAATATCACAAGTTCCAGACTTATAGTGCCTGGTAGTAGTTAAGCATGTAAATTCTTCTGAAAAATGATTATCCTGATTGGTTGCTATACTGAAAACCAAGTCTGAAATATTACTGCATTCTTTGCCAGCATCTCCTTGTTGGACTTGAGTTATTGATTGCACTTGCCCCATTTGGGTGTACTCTCTGAAAACTGTCAGGTGGATGTCGGAATTATCATGATAAATAGAGCATCTGATAAGGAGCTATAAGAATGTTCTTATAGTGAAGAGTTTGTGGGATAATTTACAAGGCACCCGATTATCTGCGTGGTGGAAGCTGGGAGTGGAGGAATAGGTAGATTCCAGATACCTTAAAAAAAAGGTTTTAGGGCTTCCCTGGTGGTGCAGTGGTTGAGAATCTGCCTGCCAATGCAGGGGACATGGGTTCGAGTCCTGTGGCAACTAGGCCCGTGAGCCACAACTACTGAGCCTGCGCGTCTGGAGTCTGTGCTCCGCAACAAGAGAGGCCGCGATAGTGAGAGGCCTGCGCGCTGCGATGAAGAGTGGCCCCCACCTGCCACAACTAGAGAAAGCCCTCGCACAGAAATGAAAACCCAACACAGCCAAAAATAAATAAATTAATTAATTAAAAAAAAAAAGGTTTTAGCTCATCAACAACTTTGCTGCTTGTTTCAATCCATCTGAAGTCATATCTGATTGTATTAGACACAATTATCCAAAGGATTTCTTTGATATGATTTCCTACCTCCCTCTCCTCCAATTTTTCAGATGTCAGGCTCCATTCTTCCTAGAACATGATTTTATTTTCTGTGTTTTCTCTTTCTTGGCAGCATTGATATTTCGCCTGGAAGGAAATATCCAAGAATCCCTAGAACTCTTTCAGACGTGTGCTGTTCTCAGCCCTCAGTCTGCTGATAACCTCAAGCAGGTGGCCAGATCTTTGTGAGTATTGGCAGCCTGGAGGCCCTAGGGCACTGACAGAGAACAATGTAAAGTGCATTCTCAGGCTGGAGCTGCTTCTGGCAGCCGGATACATAGAGGGAGGGTTGCTTAATGGATATAATAGATTCACTTTGAAGAGTGTGGATTAATTTTGAAATTTGAGAAAATGAGATAACCAGTATAAAGGAACTGAGTATTTCAAACACTGTATATTCTAGTTTGATGGGGGAACACCGATAATGTTTCTCATATAAATCGGAACATTTTGTGCCTCAAGTACCCCAATGTACTGGCAGCCCATGGAATTTTTCTCACCTACTGTTCCAACACTTAGCATAATACTAGATACACAGTAGGTTTTTAGTAAGTGTTTGTTGAGTGAATGCCCTGCAGGTTCCTGGATGCAGGCAACCTCCGTTGTCTTTATAAGCTGTTAAGTACTGATAGCTTTGCTACTCCAGAGTAGTAAAGTGTTCTGTGGAGTTCCCACTCTCACTTTCTTACCTACGTTGTCATTCATAACCTGCACTGTCTTTGCATAGAGGCTGATTTTCCCATGTCTCCAGAATGATGATCCAGTATCAAGGAAAGAGACTTAGTTTGGGAGAGAAGGGCCTGTTCCTAATAGATCATGATGAAAAATTGTGGTAGTTTTTGTTTAACATGGTCATTAGTTTGGCTTGTTTCTTTTTTGGTCTACATTTGTAGTACATTGTAGAAAATAAATTACAGAAGACTTTCACTAAAATTGGTGTAGAATGGGCCCAAGGCCTTGGAACCAACTCTGTTCCTACCAAGAGAGCTTCTGCTGTTGGTGTGCAGCAGCCTCACTGGCTAAACCAGCACAGCCAGCTTACAGGGAAGAGGCGTCCCGAATTCTCTGCTGGCTGGAGCATGAGTCAGATGTGGGACTGGTGGGGTTATAGTCTCGTAAAAGCTTTGCATTAATAATCACAGAAAATGTGTTTTTTCCCCAGATTTCTTTTGGGAAAACATAAAGCTGCCACTGAAGTATATAATGAAGCAGCTAAACTTAACCAGAAAGATTGGGTAAGTAGGGAACTTTGTTATTAGTGACATGCTAATGGCTCCATTTATCATATGGCTATCTTTTGTTATTATTACTGAATTCTTACATGCCAAAATTGTATTTTATCCTCACACTTGATCGATGATGTGGCTGGGTATAAGATCAAAAATCATGTTTCCTCATAACTCAGCAGACATTGCTGCTTAGTTTTCTGGCTGTCAGTGTTGTTGATGGGCAGTCTGTTACCAGTCTGATTCTTGCTGATAACCCCACTTTCCTGTAGAAGCTTTGAGGATTTTCTATCATTGGAGTTCTGAAATGTCAGTAATAGTTGTCTAGATGTGTTTCTTTTCTCTTTTATCCCCCTTATCTGTGGACATTCAGTTGGCTCTTTCACTTTGAAGACCCTTGCCTTTCTTTGGGTCAGCAAGGTTTTTTTTTTTTTGAGTAGTTCTTTGATTATTTTTTCCTCTCTATTGTCTCTTTGTATTAGTTAGGGATCGTGTGTAACTGCAACAAAACATTTTATTAAACACTGGCTTTATAAATTAGGAGTTTATTTTTTTCTTATGAAACAAGAAATCCAGGTAAGTAGTTGCCAACATTGATTTGGTGGTCCAACGATATCAATGCTGAGGCTTTTTCTTCATGGTTATAAGATGACTGCTGCAGCTCTAACATCACATCATTCTAGGTAGGGAGAAAGAGGAAGCAACAAAGAGAAAAGGGATAACCTTCATCAAGGAAGTATAATTTTCCCAGAAATCCCCAACAGACTTTCACTTACATCACACCAACTACGCCTTTTGTAAGGAAGGTTGGGAAATGTATTGTCACTGTAAACAAAATTAGGGTTCTGTTGGTAAGGTAAACAGAGAGAGTAAATGTTAGGTAAATAACTAGCAGCATTTGCCACACTGTTTTCTAGTCTATCAGACATGTTCTGTACCTGTTCTACTTGTCTCCTAACTTGCTTCTCATATTTTCTACCTCCTTGTCTTTGCTGTACATTCAGAGACATTTCCTCAGTCTTATCTTCCAGATCATCACGTCTGTTTTTAGCTATATTCACATTCTGTTATTTAGCCTACCTGTTCAATATTTTTTATTTCAGTAATTACATTTTTAATTTCTAAGAACTTTGTCTTTTCTTGCAGGAGCCTCTCCATGTCTCTGACCCTTTGAAGTTCTGTTCTGCTTTCCACAATTATCTTTTTCTTCCTCTGTTTTGGTTCTTTCTTCTCTTTCATGCTATTGGTTTTTTCAAAATATCTGATGATTCTTAGAAAGACGTATCTAAGAGTGAAGGATTAGATTGATTAATAGAAAGAGCTAGCATGGGTTTTCCCTGCAGTTCTTATGGCACTATCATTATTATTATTTTTAAAAAAATATTCATTTGGTTGCACCGGGTCTTAGATTGCGGCAGGCGGGCTCCTTAGTTGCAGCTTGCCAGCTCCTTAGTTGCAGCACGTGGCCTCCTTAGTTGTGGCATGCGAACTCTTAGTTGCGGCATGCACATGGGATCTAGTTCCCTGACCAGGGATCAAACCCCAGCCCCCTGCACTGGGAGTGTAGAGTCTTAACCACTGTGCCACCAGGGAAGTCTCACAGCACTATTATTTTTGTCAGTCACTTTTCTTCTGCAGGTCTAAAGACTGAGATGTTTAAGTCTTTATGCCATTGAGTATTTTATAGCCAAAGGCCAAAGTAAAGCTACAGATAAAGGAAAATTGAGTTGCCGTTTCATTCACTTCGTCCTTCTTTCAACAAATGAACGTCTGTGTGCCAGGCACTGGGCTGCAGATGCAAAGATGGATTGGTGGTTTATGGGACAATCAACTAGAATAGGAAATACAGGAAGGAAGAGGAGCAAGTTTTGGGAGAGGGTGATGATAACAAATCAGAGTTAAGTCCTGTCTTTTAGAAGATTATGGACATGATGAATTGTACCTTCTGGTAGGATATCTAAATTGAGATGTATCCAATACATGGCAGATATAGAAATCTGAAACTCAAGTGTTCTGAGCTAGAGATGCACATTTTGGAGTCAGCAACTTAAAGGTGATAATTAAAACAATGAAATTGAATGAGCTCACTCTGCAGTGAGCTGAGGATGGAATCCCGGAAAAAACAGTTTGGAGGGCTGAGCTGAAGAGAAAATGAGCCCATAGATGGAGACAGAGAGGAAGTGAGACAGGAGAGCTCAGGGACAGGACAGGGGGAATGGAGAATGTCTTTCAGTTTGTCCAGTTGGTTGAAAGAGCTCATTTGGTATTACTGACTCAGCTGGGATAACCAGTCCATTGGTGCCAGTAGAGGTGGTCATTCCCCAAACAGCCACTCTCTGCCCTACATGCTTCATGAGTGCCTGTGGCCTGTAGTAAACCTTGTAGCCCTACTTCCTTCGACTCATCAGGGTATTCCACAGTCTGGCCGCAGCAGGGGAATAATAATTCCTCCTGCCATGATCTCATTTGACTTGTGGAACAGCTGTTAAGTAGGGAGAATTTCCCGTATTGATAGATGAGGGAGCTCTGGCTTTGGGAGATGGAGTGACTTGCTGAAGGGCACACAGTGAGGTAGTGGCAGAACCAGAGCCAGAATTCAGGCCTAGAATCTAGGATTCCTCACTTTCGGCCTGTGATCTTTCTACTGTACCAATTGCCCTTGCAGGATGTCTGCTGCATCTTCTCACCCCATGAAAGACAGGATTTAATTCTGATTTGTTCTAGTTTCCTTTTCAAATTTCAAAAATTTTCTTGGTTGTCAGTTTGTTTAAGGCATATTGCTACTGCTTTCTCAAATAATATCTATGAGAAATGATTTAAAAAGGTTACGGGTTAGTTACCTTCCAGTACATTTAAAGGACAAGTAGGGCTACATTTCTCCTCTCCAGCTCCCTGTGTATATTCTTATAGGGTGATGAAGTGGAAGGTATACAAGTTTTATTTAAAAAAAATTTTTTTTTGGCTGAGCTGGGTCTTTGTTGCTGCTTGTGGGCTTTCTCTAGTTTTGGCGAGCGGGGGCTACTCTTTGTTGCGGTGTGTGGGCTTCTCATTGCAGTGGCTTCTTTTGTGGAGCATGGGCTCTAGGCGCGCAGGTTTCAGTAATTGCAGCATGTGGGCTCAGTAATTGCAGCATGTGGGCTCAGTAGTTGCAGCATGCGGGCCCCAGAGCACGCGGGCTTCAGTAGTTGCGGCACATGGGCTCAGTAGTTGTGGCTTGTGGGCTCTAGAACACGGGCTCAGTGGTTGTGGTGCACAGGCTTAGCTGCCCTGCGGCATGTGGGATCTTTCCGGACCAGGGATCGAACCCCTGTCCCCTGCGTTGGCAGGCGGATTCTTAACCACTGGACCACCAGGGAAGTCTGGTATACAAGTTTTAGAGACAGGCCTGAGTTCAAATCCCAGTGCTTTGCAATGTGGAAATTATTTGGATTATGATTTTTTAAAAATAAATTTATTTATGTATGTATGCATGCATACTGAGCCGGGTCTTAGTTGCGGCATGTGGGATCTTCATTGCAGCATGCGGACTCTTAGTTGCAGCATGCATGTGGGATCTAGTTCCCTGACCAGGGATCGAACCTTGGCCCCCTGCATTGGGAGTGCCGAGTCTTACCCACTGGACCACCAGGGAAGTCCCTGGATTGTGATTGAAGGAAGAAAAAATTTTTTTTGTAATGTGACACATTCATCAGAAATTTGTGAACATGATTCAGTATCAGCAGTTACTAATTTTTTTTCAAGTATGATAATGGTATTGTGGGTAGCTTAAAAAAAAAGAGATCTTATCGTTTAGAAACACATACTGAAATATTTGTGGATAAAATGTGACACTATCTGGTATTTGCTTACAGAAGTAGTGGGAGAGATGGGGGGTATGGATTGGATGATTGTCGGAGCAGGGTGATGAGTACAGGGTGATTCTGTCTACATTTATATATGGCTGAAATTCTTTAAGGTTTAGAACTAAGAAAAAGAAATCCCAGTGCTGATACTTTTTGTCCTAAGTTAGACAAACTACTTAACTTCTCTGAGCTTCCATTTTCTTACCTCTGAAATCAGAATTGTTATACTTATGTTGCAGATTTGCTGGGAAAATTAATGTATATGAAAAACATCTGGCATAGAATCACTGATTGCTATTTTGTTGTTGTTATGTTAGGGAACTTGGAAAACATTAAACCAGTTGTTGTCTCTGAGCCCTATAAGGTTCATGTTTCTTCCGAGAGGGACACTTCTGGGTCTGAATATGCTTCTCCACCTCCCCACTACTAACAAGATGGTCCTTACTGTTTCCCAGGAGCAGTTTTCTCACCCTTGCATTTTCCTTTCTCTAAAGCTGCCTTAAATAAAGGGAGGTTTAATATAAGGGAGTTCGAGAGATTTTACAGAACACAAGGTCAGGAAATACAGATTGGTCTTGCAGTGAACTAGAAATGGAAAGATGTCAGCAACCAAGGTAGCTTCTCTGCATTTCTGCTTGATTTATTTTCTTTCTGTAGATCAGAGGTTGGCAAATTTTTTTTTGTAAAGGGCAGGGTAGTAAATATTTTAAGCTTTGTGGATTCATACAGTCTTTGTTGCAACTACTTGACTCTGAAGTTCTAGTGTGAAAGAACTGTAGACGATACATAACAAGCGGTCGTGGCTGTGTTCCAATACAACTTGATTTGCAGAAAAAGGCAGAGGATGGATTTGGCCAGTGGGCCAGAGTTTGCTGACCTGTGCTGTAGTCTTCTGAAGATCGGCTCCAACTACATCTATGTATTCCATCCTAGTGGCCTCCAGATGGCGCGGTCAGTCCCCAAGTCCATACCACCTAGTGAATTCCTAGATTCCTAGGAAAAGGACTCTGACTGACACACACACACACCTCCTTAGGGTTGGAGAAGGGGCTGTGGTAGTCTCTTCTGAGAAGAGGGGACAAAGGGTTTGTTCAGTGAGCAGCCCTTAGAGGAAAAAAGGTGTAGGAATGGGCTGGGCATGCACTCCAAGGTACTCAATAGACCCAGGAAGATCACTGGTTTATTCTGCTTTTCTCTCTTATAACCTGTTTAAGATTCAAGTAAAAAATTAACCATAGTGCATGTTTTAAAGTTTAAATTTTGCCAAGCAGTAATAATCTCTAGATGCCTGTTGTTTCACTCTAATAGTTACTGTGGAACTTAGTAAGTTGTTTTCCTCTCTTTTGTGTGTAGGAGATCTGTCATAACCTAGGAGTTTGCTACATTTACCTGAAACAGTTGGACAAGGTAATTTATAGAAATGGTGGTGGTGGCTGAGCGGTTGGCTGGGGATTTCACTGAGGGTACACTTGTTACAGAGGTGCCATTGCTCATTTTGTATTATTCCTACTGCTTGCCGAGATTTTTAGAAGTAAAAATTGAAACTGCCATATACATTTATCCCCATTTTTATTCTCGTTTGTCACTAGTCATCTGTTTTTTTTCTTTCTTTCTGCTTTTAACAAGAAAGTGACAAATTCTAGAAATATTATTAGGGAATGGCAATCTAATTGCTTTCTTCCTCTCTTCTTATTTTCCACCCCCAGTTTAATTTTCTAGAATGGAAACACAAGTGTTCAATAAAACTTAGATATCAAAAAGTGGACCTGTAAGTCTTAAAAGTGTAGTTATGACCTTGTGAGCTATCTTATGCTCCAGTGGCAACTGATTTTAGTTTTCAAGGTCATTGGAAATGAATTTTTTTTTTTTTTTTTTTTTTTTTGCGGTACGCGGGCCTCTCACTGTTGTGGCCTCTCCCGTTGCGGAGCACAGGCTCCGGACGCGCAGGCTCAGTGGCCATGGCTCACGGGCCCAGCCGCTCCGCGGCATGTGGGATCTTCCCGGACCGGGGCACGAACCCGTGTCCCCTGCATCGGCAGGCGGACTCTCAGCCACTGTGCCACCAGGGAAGCCCGGAAATGAATTTTTAATCTTAAATAGATTTGATTTCTGAGAGTTTGTTTTTAAGGTTATTTTCCGTGTGAGATTTTTATGTTTCATTTTTATATTTCATTGTGATTAGGCTACAGTGCCTAAGGCTCTTACATCAGATAAAACATTTGCGCTTACCCTGGTACTCAGATAAGGGAAAAAATGTATATATCTTAATTGAGGGATAGACCAAATTATAGAGAACTCTAAAAGTTAATGATAGTGGGGTTGGGTAGAGTTTCCTTCATAAAGCTCCCACTTAGTGATTATGAAGTTGTATTCTCCTTTCTCCAGTGCTGACAGGACTGAGAATCTGAATTAGTTGATACCCATTTGACAGTGTTTAATATATATCAATTTGTAAACTGATGCAACCGAATCAGTCCCTCCGGGGTATGGAGAAAACCCTGCACATCAGCACTTGAGGTATGAGAATAACTTTTGCTCCTGTGAGATGTATAAAAATAAATAATACCTATATCTGTGTAAATAAAATATACATATTTAGTGGGTCCCTTAGGTTTTCTGGGCAGATCTAGATCTTCAGTGTTACATATTTGGTTAGGAGCTTTCTCTCTTCAGAGGATATTTCAAGCATCTACAAGGAAGTGATTAGGATGGGTATTTATGGCAGAAAGTGAAGGGTGAATACTCAGTTGAACTGAGTAAGTACATATCTATTCACAGGATTATTCTGAGCCCAGGGAGAGATGGAATTGGTTTTTGGTCAGACCTGTATGGAGGAGAAGCATTATATTTAGATTTTACTATAAAGCCTACAGGCTAAGCATATACAGTACCTGGCATTTATAGAAATACTTGTTGAATCAGTGAAGGACTAAACGAAGCCCTTTTCATCATCTACGAGGGCATAAGCTCTTGCGTTAGCTCTGGTATACTAGTACCTAGAGCAACAGGCACTCGATGAATACACGTTGAATGAATAAATGAGGATTCATTCATTCATCAAAATATTGGTGAGGAAAATGAGGTCCACCCTGGGGAAGGGTGTGCATTTGGTCAGTGGTGCAGCTGGGGTCGAGTTTGGGGCAGACCATGATATCCCTTTTGACTTACGAAATACGAGTCATGGGTGTGAATATCAGAAAGCAGAAACACTCAGAAGGTTTAATCATCTGTACAGGCCCCCAAGTGGCTCTAGAGGCAGACACTCCGTGTTGCCAGCTGTCCTATGAGCACGCACGGCTTGGGTATGTTTTAGTTTTTTGGGTAGTGGGGCATTTGCTGAAATGTGATATTCCTACATTAGTATAGCAGGAGCTCTGTCTTTACATTAGCCATACAAGGTCATTGTCCTTTCACGGTAGTGATCTGGTTCTCTTTACTCTGTCAATCTTGTTAGGCACAAGACCAGTTGCACAATGCCCTACATCTTAACAGGCATGATCTGACTTACATAATGCTGGGCAAGATCCATTTGCTGGAGGGAGACTTGGACAAGGCCATCGAAATCTACAAGAAAGCAGTGGAGTAAGTGTGTCTGTTCCTTTAGAGCAGCGAGAAACTAAAACAAAAATGGGAGCAGACGTGAACTCCCAAGTCTAAGAGAGAACACGTGTGACTGTTACACATTGTGAGTTGTAGGAGCCAGAGTTACTGTTAAGCTAAGGTTTAGAGCTCCCGATTGTTTAAATAAGGAAGACAGACATGTTTCTTTCTCACCCATCCGTGTGGCTGGTCTAGCCTAGCTGGGCAGCTTTGCTCCACAAGATCAATCTGGGATCCAGGTTCCTTCCATGTTCCTTCCTCATCATTCCTTAGGTTGTTGCCTTCACCTGCATGGTTGCAGCTAACTTACTGTAGCATCTGTGCTCCAAGCTGTGGTTGGGGGAGGTGGTATAGGAAGCTAAGTACTGAATAAATAGGAAGTTGCACACATCATTCCCGCAGACATTCTCTGGTTCGAAATTAGTGAGGTGGCCACATCTAGCTGCAAGGGAGGTGGGCAGATGTGCTTAGGAGGAAGGAGAGAGCAGATTTTGGAGTCAGCTGGCAGTCTGCCATTGTGGTTTTAAACTTTATAAAAGATCTTGTGTTTCAGGATATTAGGGAGAGAAATCTCCTGATTGAGTAATAAAGATCTGGCCTTGTTAGCTTGAGACCAATATCATGCTTTTGAAAAGTATCATTAGGGTCAGCCAAACCCCCCTTGAAAACGTAACTGACTGGCTTTCCCAGTGTGTTCTGCGTTTCTTTTCTAGGGACACATGCTGTCTTGTCTTTTCTGTCTGGGGTCTTGTGTTTAAGTGGGAGAGCTGTAGCAAAATGCTGTAGTGTCTCATTTGTTTGGTCAGTTAATAGAATGCCTCATCTGTGGTTTAAGGCCACAGAGTCTGTTACTCCTGATAATTAGACTTTGAACTAAACGTAGATTTCTATTAATTTGTTAATTACCTTTGTCTTCTACCATGATAGTAACTTTTCTGGTTATATTAGTCACAACACTGCTTTTGGAATTTTCTTCAACCATATTTTATATCTGAAAAGACATAAAAATCCTTTGGTTTAAGCTACAAAAGAGACTTCTGTCATCAAAAGGCTAAGTTTATATGGACAAGTAGGAAGGAAGCCATGTAGCGTATGTTAAAGTCTCTTTGGTGCTGGGTGGAAGCTTTAATCCCTGACCCCTGCATTCTGTAAGTTGGCTCTTTGAGCTTATTAGCTCACATAAATTACATTAGCTCACACATTCTTCTAGTGGCTGGTCAAGGACTTAAGTCACTGAAATTCTCAAAGGAGAAAACAGGTCAGCTGAGCATTTGGAGCCTCACTGAGATTATAGAAACCATTGTTTATGACCCGCAGCTTTGGAGAGAGTAGTCATGTTTTGGTGGGGGGATGGACACCCACCAGAATCATGGAAGTTACTTACTTGCTTTGGGGGAGGAAGTGATTAGGATGGGTATTTATGGCAGAAAGTGAAGGGTGAATACTCAGTTGAACTGAGTAAGCTCTGTCTGGCCAGCTCAGGCCTCCCCAGGCTGGGGCTTTGGCCCCTGTGGTTCTGGTCTCCCCATAGGTGACCAGCACCCTACCTCATTCCTTAGAAACAGGAGACACTGTTCTTCACCTTCTGTCATTTTCACTGTTGAAGCTGTCTGGTGATCCTGTAGTCAGATCATGTGAGCTCAGTGTTGCTTTCGTTTTGTGACAAAGACAGATGTCATTGAGGGATTGGAAAGGCAGATAATCTTTTACTTAAGCCGGTGTTTACTCCCCAAAGCCAACAGCTCATTCTTTCCTAGAGCGGGTATGTGTCTTCCTTCTTTAGTTTGGCTGTTTAGTATGGCTTTTTGTTTAATGTGGAGAGCAGAGCATTAGGGGCCTTGGGATCCTGAATTACGCGGGAAATTATGCTGGCTGGCATTGAGCGCAGTGAGAACAGGAAAAAAAAGTCTCACAAGAGGGAAAGGGCTAAAACTGTGTGTTCTAGACTGACTTGGTTTACAGGGCGTTATTCTTGAATTCTATCAGTGTAATCAAGACAATGGCACAAAATATTCCATAGGTTCTTTCTAAGGACTTTGGCCCTAAGGAAAGGTCCTGCGAAAGGAGTCTGAGTTCCAGGTCCCATTCTTTTTTTTTTTTCTTTTTTTTGCGGTACGCGGGCCTCTCACTGTTGTGGCCTCTCCCGTTGCAGAGCACAGGCTCTGGACGCGCAGGCTCAGCGGCCATGGCTCACGGGCCCAGCCGCTCCGCGGCATGTGGGATCTTCCCGGACCAGGGCACGAACTGTGTCCCCTGCATCGGCAGGTGGACTCTCAACCACTGCGCCACCAAGGAAGCCCCGAAGTCCCATTCTTTCTAGCTGAGCAATCCTCCCTGTAGCTAGGGTTGAGGTGACCTACTTTGGAAGGAAATTCCCAAATCCCTTTGAGAGTTCCTATGGGGAGTGGGAGGCACAGTGGTGTCTCAGGTAGTGCACAAGGGTGAATTACTATGTGTGTATCTTAGTGTCTCTCATACACATCTTGTTTCCCTCTGAGCATCTCTGTGTTGCAGGTTCTCACCAGAAAATACAGAACTTCTCACAACTTTAGGATTACTCTACCTCCAGGTAAGACGAATTCTTTGCTCACCCATGCATTGACGTTAGAAGTGTTTTTGGGTTTGTGTGTGTTGTGGTTTTCCTGCATTTTAACTTTAACACAACTTACTAAAGGTCATAAGAAGGACATGAACTTTACTCTCTGCATTTGATATTCTTTGTCTGCTAAAGGAATTAATTTTCAGCATTCAAATCAGAAGCAGGTAAGTCTCTTTGAGCCTTAGTGCAACTACAGTTCTTACCCAACCAAGGCAGGAACACATACGAGAAGTAACTGGGGTCAGAGGGGCTGGCATTTTGTGGTGGGAGGAGAAGCTGTGGTACCGCTAGGGCTTTGGGGCAAAGGCCATTCCTGTTGTTCCTTCTTCCCAGCCACGTCCTCTAGAAAAGAGAGAAGGCAAAGCATTGTCTAGAATAAAAAGTCTCCTCTCCCCTCCACATTCCCGAGTGTGGGTGGGATTCTCTTGGCCCCATCGCTGTTCTGTGTCTGCCTGAGGCCCTGGGACCCAGGGATCCCTCAGGGCTTCTCCCTGCCCCACACACCCCATCGAAGCCCCTGGTTCCCCTCTTAGCTGATCCTGCCTCCAGCCCTGCCTTTGTGGTGGCCTTTTCGTTTGTTTCAGTTTTCTTTCAAAGGAGCTTAACCCTGGGCCTTCCCGGGCTCTGGCTTGGGAGGCTGGCCCCAGGGGAGATGCAGCGAACCAGCCCGTTTCCTGCCAAGAGGCCACGGGTGGAACAGCGCTAGTGTGGCAGAGGCTGTTCCTGGCAAACAGCTACTTTGACCTTATCAGGGGACAAATCAACAAAACAGGAGGGAAAACAAACGTGGGGATCTTAATTTCCTCTTTTAAAGAATCCGGTATCTGTAGCTCTTTCTCTGTCCGAAGAACCCGGAAAAGTCAGGGTGTGTCTGATGAGGGTGTGCTTGGCCAGTCTCCTTAACTACCGTCCCCACAGTGTAATTCTCTGGCTTTTGCTTTTTCCCAAGCTTGGCATTTACCAGAAGGCATTTGAACATCTTGGAAATGCACTGACTTACGACCCCACCAACTACAAGGTACTGCAGGCTGTCAAACCCCAGAGCCTTCACACAGATGGTCCCACCACTCCTAAAGGTGATCTGGCCCTAGAAAGCGTTCTGTATATCTGAGAAAGTACTTTTTCCTTAGAAAAGTTATAATAAATAAGCGTGGCTCTCATTTGAAAATACTGTAAAGTGTCAGTGCTCTGCTTCTTATCTTCTAAAAGAGCACATTTGTTATATTGGGCCTGTTAACTTATGCAGAAAGCAAAACTGTAGTGCTGGTAAAGTTTTATATGTTACTTAGGAAATTGGCAGAGCCTCTGTAACTACTGTCAGAAATAAATCTGCTGAAAAGACTTGATTCCTGATGAATCTGAGATTACAACTCTTGTCCAGATACGACTTTGGGGAGGAGGAGATCATCATGTGGATATGTATCACTGAGGGAGATGCAGCAAAACCGGCTGTTAACAGTACAGACTCAGTCCTATCTTGGAAGTCGTAGTAGCCTGACGTAGCACCCCACCTTAATTAACCCTTTTCCTTAGAGACATGAAAAGCTTGATCAGTGAAGCCTAAGGCTGACTCACCCTCTGCCCTGTGGCAGAAGGAGCTGCACCTTAGTGGCCAAAGACAGGTGCACCTGAGTTGTCTAGAGCACTTGGTGTACCAAGTAGGGGCTGTAGGGAACAGGTTAAAGGTGCTTTTTACTTACAGGGCCCCGATACTCTGAAATAGTGACTCCCCTGGCCACCAGTAGGAAAGAAGTAAGCTGGGTCAGTGACTTTTCTGTATTACGCCGAAGAGAGCCAGCGTGGGGTGCGGGAGTGTTCTTCAGGAGCGTCTGTTCCAATAGCTTGGATATAGTATATAGGTCCCTGGAAGAAGCTTTTCAGTCCCACCAGTGCTGATGGGCCTGCTGAGTATCTACACTCAGGAAGGCTACTTCACTGCAACAGCCTTTTAGGAATGACTGAATTACCAACTTTCCACATCCCATGTTTTCAGGCCATCTTGGCAGCAGGCAGCATGATGCAGACCCATGGGGACTTTGATGTTGCCCTCACCAAATACAGAATTGTAGCTTGTGCTGTTCCAGAAAGTCCTCCACTCTGGAATAACATTGGAATGTGTTTCTTTGGCAAGAAGAAATACGTGGCAGTGAGTGTCTCCTCATTTTCTTGGTTTGTGTTCAGTTACTGGTTCTGCCAGCTTGCCCCAGCCTCTCACCGAGTGCCTGCTCTCTCCTGCAGGCTATCAGCTGCCTGAAACGAGCCAACTACTTGGCACCCTTCGACTGGAAGATTCTGTATAATTTGGGCCTTGTCCACCTGACTCTGCAGCAGTATGCATCAGCCTTCCATTTTCTCAGTGCAGCCATCAGCTTCCAGCCGAAGGTGGGGGAGCTCTACATGCTCTTGGCTGGTAAGAGACATCTGTGTGAAGAACCCCTTTCGCAGTCTGTACTCAGGGAAAAATGAATTAGAATCACAGGAGGCCAGTGGTTAAATGTCCCATAGAAGCCATTCCCTTGCAGATCCCATAGGAATCCGGATTACTGTCCTGGAGTTTGAAGAAATATGAAAGAAAAAGATGACAAAGCACCTTGTTGCTTCTCACTTAGGGGAATTTCACTCAGAGACCAGCAGGTTCAATCAGGTTCGTCTCCAGTTCATCTTTTAACAGTGGTTTTCCCATGACAGTTCATATATTGAATCCAGCCAAGCTCCAGTTATCAGCAGGTGTTAAGATCTTGGGCTTTAGGTAGGGTCCTGCCTCTACTACTTACTAGCTATATCTCATAGGGTTGATGAAAGGATTACATGATTGGACACAATGAATGTTAACTACTGGTTTTGTTGTCATTATATAATTAGTCTATTATTGTTGTTGCTCTACAGTATAAAAGTACTGACTAAATATTCTTTCTGGGGGATACTTCTCCTTATACTAAATATTCTTTCCGGAGGATACTTCTCCGTATACTAAAGTTAAGAAATGTATACCTAAAAGCAGTTTCCATGTTCTCATTGACAGTAGTCCTCAGGTGTCCTTTTGGGTTTTTTGTTTGTTTGTTTGTTTGTTTTGGTCATTACTGTGAGGTTCTGATTTATAAGAGAAAGGTTGCAAAAACAAATTGAGTGGTGGTTACTTGGGGGCTGTCTGAATACAAAGATAGCCCAGTCATAATGGGATACAGGAATGTAAACAAATAGCTGTACTGTATGGCATAAGCAGCAATTCTAACTTTGCAAAGTAGAGATGATCTTCACACTGAGTTGTGAAAAGATAAGCTGGAATTCAGTAGTACAGAATGGCTGAGAAGTCCCTGAGTAAAGGCATGCAGCCATGAAACTGCAAGAGGTACCAGGCCATTAGTGGGCAATAGTGTTGTAGAACGTGGTGGGAGATGAGTCAGGAGAGGTAGTCTGGCGTCAGAGTATGGAGGACCATTGAGTACAGCACAGGGACTGTACACTTGATCCCAGAGGCTCTGTTTTTCCCAGCTGTGTTCGTGGATCTCCTCTTGTGTCTGGTAGAAGTAGATGAACAGCTGGGGAGGTGGAGCGGGCAGGGCTTCCAGAGCAGCTCTGCTGTTGTCTGGGTTATAGGTCAGGCTTTCAGAAAATACTGATCTAAAAAGGGAGAGTGTTCTGTTGCTAAACAAAAGTTTAAAGGTACGGTTATGGGTGCTGGAGAGCAGTGAGCATGTGAGTATTCCTGAGTAGGCCAGTGACGCGGTCAGATTTGTCTCAGTCAGCAAGATACCTGGCAGCCTGCGCTGTGGCAAGCGGGACAGTGCCCTTGGGGAACAAAACGGAAGGCCTGACACGACTAAACCAGGGCAGTGTCACCAAAGAAGCTGTAAAAAATGGAATTCATGGAACCCGGCCGCTGACTAACTGTGGAGAGGGGACCGTTGAACAACATGATACCTGGAATCCAAGCTGAGTGGCTGCGCAGACGGTGGTGCCAGGAGCTGGGCGGGCACACCAGGAGTTAGTTAGGTTTGGTGGCTGAATGAACTGCCGTCTTGAAACATTGCCTGTGTTTTCTCCGCTGGGCTTTTCAGCCACTGCACTCAGTTTCTTCGTTGCAGTGGCTCTGACCAATCTGGACGACACGGAGAATGCCAGGAGAGCCTACGCAGAAGCAGTCCGCCTGGATAAGTAAGCCGCCCTGTCGGGAACGCCGCTGGGAGGGCTGGGTGCCGCAGAGCCGCGAGGTGGCGCCACGGCCCCGGCGTTGCCGAGCCAGCCCAGCTGCTCGCTCCCCGTGCCTCTGTGCACAGCGGGCCTCTGCGCTGCAGGACGTGGCTCTGAGCACAGAGTGGCTCGGCAGGACCCGACACTGACTCTTTCTGAGAAAACGTTTCGAGCCCTTAGTAGTCAGGAGGCCAGAGAAAGTGAGAGCTGGCAGTGGGCTTGGGCTGTTGATAGCTGTGGGCTCGCTGGAATGTCACATGGGACTCTGGGCTCAGTTTAATTTAAGATAAACTTGACTCTCCTGGGATATATTCCACTGGCCTCTGTTAGGCAGCAGGGTAGGGACCTGTTTTTCGTCTCTTTTGAGGGCTGAGATGTCAGTCTTGGTCCCAGTACCTGCTTTGCTGGTTGGGAAGTTAATTCCCTGATTCTTCTCCAAAGGTCCACACAACACGTGTGTGCCCCACCTTGCTGTGGAGTGGAGCTGTCTGTATTTAGCCAGTTTTATTTTTGTGCAGTGAGAAGGATCTCTAATTGACCACGTGTTGCAAGGCCCCAGCTCCATAAGGATCGCTGTCTGTTTGCACAGGTGTAACCCTTTGGTAAACCTGAACTATGCTGTGCTGCTGTACAACCAGGGAGAGGAGAGGGGCGCCCTGGCCCAGTACCAGGAGATGGAGAAGAAAGTCAACCTACTCAAGGACAGCAGCTCCCTGGAATTTGACCCGGAGGTAAGCCTTAGCTCCTAGGAGTCATAACGAGACTTTTGAATCAAGCCCAAATAACCCAAATATAAGGTGTTATATAGGCTCATGCCTGTTTTGGCTTAGACATTCCTAGTGGCATGAATTCTTCAATTAAGAACAGCTTGAGAAGAAACTTTCCTGGACGAAAATAATAAGAGGAAATTCAGGCTTACTGAGTTACATCTATTATTGATAGACCTCAGCTCAAATGAGTTGTATTATGTCTCTTTGTAGCTTCCTCCCAGTCTCCTCACATAGGAAAAAGGCAGGAATTTAGTCCAACAATGCACCAAACTTGAATTGTTGGGTTTGAGAGCCTTTAAAGAACTCCCTGGCCATCCACTCAGGGCAGTGTGGTCTCTGCTGTTTGAGAATGATTTCTTTGCAGTAAGTGTTTCCTCCCTCAAATGCTAGTACAGCAGACGCTATTTCAGCTAACCCCCACCTGCCTGCTGAAGACCTGGGATGAGGCTTCCGGTCAGCCCTGTGACTCTTTTTTTTTTTTTTCCTTCCCACTTGGGCACAAGATGGTGGAGATGGCCCAGAAGTTGGGAGCTGCTCTCCAGGTCGGGGAGGCACTGGTCTGGACTAAACCAGTTAAAGATCCCAAATCAAAGCAGCGGACCACTTCAACCAGTAAAGCCGCCAGTTTCCAGCAGCCTCTGGGTTCTAATCAAGCTCTAGGACAGGCAATGTCTTCAGCAGCCGCATATAGGAAGCTCCCGTCAGGTAGGAAGCTACACACAGCTATATGAAGACCTGTGGGTACAAGCCACATGCGCCTGCAAAGAGATTACAGCTTGGAATGAGGCTTGTGCTTTTCAGACTCAGGACACATCCAACGTAGTGCTGCCTAGAAGGGGAAAAAAGCCCAAGGGTGGCCGAACTGTCACTTGTTTCCTTAAGGCAATTTGTGTAAAAGTTAACAGCTACTGGCAGGCTTAGCTGGATGTCGGTACGCTGGGTCTTTACAATATTCAGGTTTAGAAATACATTGCGGCACCTTTCGTTATGTAGTCTCACTTTAATTCTCACTGCCTTATTATAAGCCAGCATGGTGCAGGTAGTTAAACATTTCTTTTATAAGGCCATTGAAGGCACACTTGACTGTTGCTTTATTTCTTCAGTTATGGTCTTCCTGCACAGCTGCCCAGATATGCCACAGTCCCACTAGTCTCAGAAAATATGGGTTTTTTCCTTGAAACTTGACAGTGAAAATACTGATTTCTTCTGGAACCATGGAACTGAGAATTCAAGCTGTTTGTTTTGTTACTAGGTGTCGGAGGAACATCCCAGCTCACAAAGCCACCATCTCTTCCTCTGGAGCCAGAGCCCACTGTGGAAGCGCAACCAACTGAAGCATCAGCACAAATAAGAGAAAAATAGGTGTAGGATGAGCCGAGAGTTGGGGTTTCTTGGGCGAGGATGTTCCAGATTAGGAAAGGTCCCGTGACACAGGCAGCACGGAGGCCAGCACGTTCCCTGGGCATCATGAGCTGGAACGCAGAACGTGTTACAATGATCACGAGGAGGCTGAGGCCTGCGCAGCCCCTGCTGCCCCATCAGCCGGAAACGAGCGAGAAGATGGCCCAGACAGGTTCTCCTGAAGAATCGAGAGCAAGGCTTCGGCTCTATGTATGTAGTTCCAAGAGCCAGCAGGGCATGTGATGCTGTTTGTTTTGGAAAGGACTTTCTCTTGGCTGGCGGACCCCTTCCTTTGTGGAAGGAAAGTCTGAGACAGACCTCTGCGCAGCAGTCCTGTCATGACAAAGCCTTGTCTTAGCTGAGCTGATCCTTGGGCTGTGTGGTATATCAGCCACTGAAGCAAACACAAATCTTTGATTAATAATCCAGCTCTAATAGTCTAAAAGAAAAAAAAAATGATGAAACAAGCTCTTTAAATTGAGGCCCAGGCTACTGAGTGAGTATCCCAGCTGCACTTTCCCAAAAGCATCCAGAACAAGTCCCTATATCTTGTTCTTGAGAGGTCAGTGTAGAGCCAGACCATGTCAGGATGAAAAGAAGTAAAGGGCTGGTCTGGTGTCAGCACCAAGGATTTAACAAAAAGGAAGTGCTGCTTAACTGAGGAATTTTTATTTGACAATCGATGATACCACTGACCAGATGTTATCAATACATTATATCTATAGATACTTTTCAGAATAAAGATTATGTATCATCCCTTTGGGGAAAGTTATTCAGGTATAAAAATGAGGGATCACAAAAAAAAACTTTTTAAAAGAAACTTGTACCTGCTCAGTCTTTGGGGCTTGTGGATTTGCAGTCTCTCATTCACTCTGTTGAGAAAGGAGCTATTCTAATTCCTAGTATGGGAGTTGCTCATGTCATCACAGGAAAATTACATGACAATTAGAAAAATGAGACCAAGTACACAGTTACAGATACAGACATGGTTTTAGATGGCTCAAATTAGAGGCAAGAAAGCGGAAGTACGAACTAGCAATGGGAAAAGTGTTCTTCTTACTGAATAATATTAGTACAAAACGAAGTAAAATTTTGGAGTGTACGATTACAATGATCATTTTGTTCTTAAGGAAAAATCCCTATTGTCTGATAATAGAGAGCAGCTCACAATGGACCAATCCTCCCACGGACAACAAATATAAACCAGTGGGTAAATGTAAAATACTATCTATCTTGGTTTAATTTAAAAAAAATACACATAACTGTTCCAAGTAAAAATTATAACATTATAACTAAAGGACAAGGGGGTATATGGAAACTTATGGTTGAAAGGTTTTTATATTTCACATGATATGGTACAAAACTAATCCTAAATAGTTTGTGAAAAGTTAAGGCTGTATATTATAATCCCTAGAGTAACCATTAAAAAGATGCAAAGAAGCACAGCTATTGGGTTGGCCAAAAAGTTTTTTTTTTCTTTTTCTGTAAGACGGCTCTAGTAGCCCTTAGCTGGAAGACTGTAAAAGGCACCTAGAACAGTTCTTTACTCAAAAAGATAAAAAGTTTTGGGAAGATGGAATTATGAAGTTGCCTGAAAAATGGCAGAAGGTAGTGGAAGAAAACGGTGACTATGTTGTTCAATAAAGTTCTTGGTGAAAATGAAAAATGCATCTTTTTACTTAAAAACCAAAGGAAGTTTTTGGCCAACCCAATAAAAAGACAGTAGAGAGGGGGGTAAAAAAACAGATGGAACAAGGAGAAAATAAATAGCAAAATGTTAAATGTAAATCCAGTCATGTCAATAACTACATTAAAATGTAATTAGACTTAAAAATGTAAGTGGACTAAACATGTCAGTTAAAAAGCACAGAGGGGCTTACCTGGTGGCGTGGTGGTTGAGAGTCCACCTGCCGATGCAGGGGACAGGGGTTCGTGCCCCGGTCCGGGAGGAGCCCACATGCCGTGGAGCGGCTGGGCCCGTGAGCCATGGCCGCTGAGCCTGCGCGTCCGGAGCCTGTGCTCTGCAATGGGAGAGGCCACAGCAGTGAGAGGCCTGCGTACCGCAAAACAAACAAACAAAAAAACACAGAAAGGATAAAAAAGCCTAGTACTATATTAATGTTAGATAAAGCAGGCTTCAAAACAAGGGCTGTTACCAGAAATAAAGGGGGGCATTTCACAATGATAAACAGTCAAGTCAGTAGAAAACCATAAATATGTACGCAACTAACGTTACTTCACAGTACATCAAGTAAAAATTGATAGAATTTAATCCACGATCATAGTTGGATATGTTAGCACTTTTTCTTTCAGCAATTGTGATAGAATTAGACAAAAAGTGTAAAAGGACATATTGGCCAGCTTGTCAATTTCTTTTGACATTTATAGAACACTACAAGCAGTAACTGTAGAAAATACATTCTTTGCAAGTGCACATAATACATTTAGCAAGACAGACCAAATACTGGGCCATAAAATAAGTCTCAAAAGTCAACAGATTGAAATTTCCAGAATATGTTCTCTATACACAATGAAATTGTATTAAAAATTAATATCTAGAAAACCTACATATTTGGAAATTATACACACATACTTGTAATAAGGAAGAAATCAAAAGAGAAATTAGAAAATATTTTGAACTGAATAATGAAAACAAAATTTGTAGGGTTAAGAGCTGTGCTTATAAGGAAACTTAGAGCTATAAATGCTTCTATTAGAACAAATGAAAGGTAGAAAATCACTGATAAAGGTTTCTACCTTAAGCTATAAAAAGAGCAAAATAAACCCAAAGTACAGAAAATATTAAAGAAAAATCTAAGAAGCTGAAAGTTCTATGAAAAAACACACACACACAAAAATGGACAAATCCCTAGCTAAACTGATGAAGGGAAAAAAGAGGAGACAAATTACCAATATCAGGAATGAAAGAGGGGATAGCATTACAGGTCCTGTACAACATGGAAAAGATAAAGGAATGTTATGAAAAATTTTATGATAATAAAACAAGTTGGATGTAATACACAAAATCTTTGAAAAATGCAACATACCCAAACTGAAACAAGATGAAATGTAAAGGCTTCATAGGTCCGATCAAAGGAACTGAATCTATAAATCAAATGCTACCCTAAGCAAACTCTTGGCTCAGATGATTTCACCAGTGGGTTCCATTAAATCCAGTCTTACAAAATTTTTTTTTTTTCTTGCGGTACGCGGGCCTCTCACTGTTGTGGCCTCTCCCGTTGCGGAGCACAGGCTCTGGACATGCAGGCTCAGCGGCCATGGCTCACGTGCCCAGCCGCTCCGCGGCACGTGGGATCTTCCCGGACCGGGGCACGAACCTGCGTCCCCTGCATCGGCAGGCGGACTCTCAACCACTGTGCCACCAGGGAAGCCCCTACAAAAATTTTTTAAAAACAGGATCAAGAACTTCCCATTAGGCCATGAAGAAAATGAAAGTCAATCTACAGATTGAGAATATATTCACAAGATACATCTGACAAAGGACTTATATCCAGAAAATATAAAAAACTCCTACAACTCAATAATATAAAAACTAATAACCCAAACAACAACATACACAAACCAAATGAAAAAAAAAATGGGCAAAAAATTTGGACACCTCACAAAGATACATGAAAGGCCAGTAAGCATGTGACGACGTGCTCATTGTCCATCATCAAGGAAACGCAAAATAAAACCACAATGAAATACCACTGTGTTCACATCAAAATGGCTAAAATTAAACACTGACAACTCTAAATACTGGCAAGAACAAGAAGCAACCAGAACTGTCATGCATCATTGGTGGGAGTGTAAAATGGGCCATCCGCTTTGGAGAAAGGTCTGTCACTTACTCATGATATACATTCTTCCCAGCAATTCTACTCCCATGTATTACCCAAGAGGAAGGAAAATGCCCACACAGACTTGTAGATAACATTATTCATAAAAGCCCCAAACGGAAACATCGTATTCACAGTGGAATACTATTTAGCCACAAAAGGCAACAAACTACATGCAACAACATAATCTCAAAAACATTATGCTGAACGAAAAGGGTTTTTACAGCTACAGTAATTAAAACAGTATGGTACTGGCACAAAAACATAAATATAGATCAATGGACCAGGATAGAAGGCCCAGAAATAAACCCATGCACTTATGATCAATTAATCTACCACAAAGGAGGCAAGAATATACAATGGAGAAAAAGTCTCTTCGATAAGTGGTGCTGGGAAAACTGGACAGCTACATGTGAAAGAGTGAAATTTGAACATTCTCTAACACAACAAAAATAAACTCAAAATGGATTAAAGACCTAAATGTAAGACTGGATACTATAAAACTCCTAGAGGAAAACATAAGCAGAGCACTCTTCGACATAAATTGCAGCAATATCTTTTTGGATCTGTCTCCTAGAGTAGGAGTAGGAGATAAATGGAAATAAAAATAAACAAATGGGACCTAATTAAACTTAAAAGCTTTCACACAGCAAAGGAAACCATAAACAAAACGAAAAGACAACCTACAGAATGGGAGAAAGTATTTGCAAACGATGCAACTGAAAGGGAGTTAATTTCCAAAATATACAAACATCTCATAACAGCTCAATATCAAAAAAAATCCCCAAACAACCCAATCAAAAAATGGGCAGAAGATCTAAAAAGACATTTTTCCAAACAAGACATACAGATGGCCAAAAGGCATGTGAAAAGATGCTCAACATCGCTAATTAGAGAAATTCAAATCAAAACTACAATGAGGTATCACCTCACAACAGTCAGAATGGCCAACATCAAAAAGTCTACAAATAACAAATGCTGGAGAGGGTGTGGAGAAAAGGGAACCCTCTTGCACTACTGGTGGGAAAGTAAATTGATACAGCCACTATGGAGAACAGTACGGAGGTTCCTTAAAAAACTAAAAGTAGAGCTACCATATGATCCTGCAATCCCACTCCTGGGCATATATCCAGAGAAAACCATAATTCGAAAAGGTACATGCACCTCAGTGTTCATTCATTGTAGCATGATATACAATAGCTAAGATATGGAAGCAACCTAAATGTCCATCGACAGGTGAATGGATAATGAAGATGTGGTACATATGCACAATGGAATATTACTCGGCCATTAAAAAGAATGAAATAATGCCATTTGCAGCAACATGGATGGACCTAGAGATTACCATACTAAGTGAAGCAAGCCAGACAAAGACAAAATATATGATACTGCTTATATGGGGAATCTAAGAAACTGATACAAATAAACTTATTTACAAAACAGAAAGACTCACAGACATAGAAAACAAACTTATGGTTACCAAAGGGGAAGGGGGGGGAGATAAATTAGGAGTTTGGGATTAAAATATACACACTACTAAATATAAAATAGATAATCAACAAGGACCTACTGTATAGCACAGGGAACTCTACTCAGTATTCTGTAATAACCTATAATGGAAGAGAATGTATCACTCTGCTGTATACCTGAAACAAACACAACATTGTAAATCAACTATATTTCAACAAAAAATTTAAAAGAAAATCAGTGAGGAGACATAAAAAAATAACACTGAAGAAAAGAGCTTTATACAAAAGGACTAAATACTGTATGATTCCATTTCTATGAAGTTCCAGAACAGGCAAAACTAATTTATGGTGAAAAAGATTATAGTGGGTGCTTCAGGGGGCTGGGGTTGAGGGGGAGGCTGAGTATAACTTGGAAGTAGCCTGAGGGACCTATCTGAGATGATGG